AGCCTGCACGCTACCTCAGTGATAGCACACCACCACCGCCTCAATCTCAGCCTGATTTCGGCGAGGCCACTATTCCAACGATCCTTCTGCGGTTTCGGCCAGCAATCTGAGCATTCGACTCACCAAGGTCGTTCTCTCCTCTCCGAAAACAGCCTCTATCTGCACCCTCACACTTTGTCCTATAACCGGATTCAGCTGGAACTGCAATTTGAAAGGCTCTCCCTTCACGCTCAAGGTGTTGGTCGCGCGGGGTGTTGGTTTGCATGGCTCGAGAAAACGCGCACAGCCACATTTACCCAAACGCGTCGCGTGCCATCCGGATATCCGTGGAAGCAAAGGCAGAGACGCGCTTTCATACTCACTCTCTTTTGCACGCAAGCAGCAGGGAAGCCCGACAAAGAATCGCTTCGATTCGCTTGCTTTCTCTTCCCTCACCACTGACGACCCAGCCCCTTGTGAATGCAAGAACACCTCCCCAAGGCTCGGTGCAGTATATCGGGCAGCCTGGCAGGAGTACAAAGGGCAGTCACATTCCAGTCTCTCAGACGCTTGCGAAGCTCCGCATCATCCCGGCGACGAGAGCTAGACGCCAGCATATCATGATATCTCAACCCAGCAGCAGCATCTCCAGTGCACCTTGCTCTTCAATGCAGACAGACACATCTACTACGACTGCGTCATCATCACACCCTACCGCTGGGGACGTCCAAGAAAGCTCAAGCAGATCCAAGCGGGCCAAGGACTCGCGTCGAGGAGCTCCTCCCGAGGTGATCCTCTCCAAAGCGCTCTCCTGGCTGCTGCGTCACGGAGCTCTCAAAGAGAAGCTTGCGATACGCCCAGATGGATTCGTTAAGGTGGAAGACGTGCTCAAATCGTCGAGGATCAAGAGCATACAGCTGCCTCCTGATGGGCGCAAGGTCAGCCTGGACGATGTTAAGGAGGTCGTGCAGAGTAACGAGAAGAAGCGCTTCGAACTTAGAGAAGAGGAGGGAGGGTATTGGATCAGGGCGGTGCAGGGGCA